GACCTGAAGGCTCAGTAAGGGGACCCAGGCTACAACTATTCTATATAATAGAAGTACTGAATGTAAGTACTGAAACATAGTTAGAACTTGTAGAACAAATAGAGAGAGAGAGTAAGACAAGAGTAGAGTATATAGAGTGAGTCTAAGAGTACAGGACTACCTAGAGTAGACAAGATCAAGACTATAGGACCAGTCTGATCTTGTACACCTATATATACTAAACTATACAAGAGTACTCAGAGAGTATAAGCTACTAAGAATAATAAGCTATAAAGAATGAAAGAAAGGAAGGTCAAAGATAAAGGTACAAAGAATGAAGGGATGGACAAAGGGTAAGAGACTATAGAATGAACAAAGAATGAAAGGGTGGTCAAAGGAACAGAATGATGAAGTAAGGAGGGGTAGTAGTAAGAGTTAGTATACATATAGTCTATAGACAGTACTTCTAAGGGACAGAAGTCCTGAGTTCCAGTACAGAAGAGTGTAGAACCCTTAGAACTGAAGGTATAAGAGTAGAGAACTGTAACATTACCCTCCCTCTAAAACCAATTGTCCTGATTAGTAAACATTAGGCTCAGTTAGTAGCTCAAACATAGGTTGGAACAGTAGGGCTTGGAAATCTGTAAGGCTGAGTTTGTACAGAGTACTAGGATAAAGCTAATAGAAGTCTTAGATTGCCTTAGGAGTATAAGTGAGGTTCTTAGCAGGTTCCCAAGTATACTCTTCAACTGGGTACTCTTTCTAGTAAACAAGAAACTTGAGTTTTCTATACACTAGCTTAGTATCTACTATGTACTCTACTTTGTATTCTGGTTCAGAACTAATAAGTTCTGGTAAAGGTGGTAAGGGTCTTTGTTGTAAAGGAAAACCTAGATTGTAGTACTAAGACAACAGAACCTTGTTAAACACTAGGTGTATGTGTTTTTATGTTACTAGAAGTTAGAGTTTGTAGACAGAGACACTAACCTTCTTTTCAATAACAAAGGGTCTGAAGCACTTGTTGTCCAACTTCTTTATTAGGTGATCCAAGGTTAGATTAGTAGCTTCTAGTATAACTTTGTTACTAGGCTAGTAATCCTTGGCTACAGATCTCTTCCAATCATAGTTCTACTTTATAACTTGTACTATCTTCTTTAAAAGAGCTTGTATATCCTCCCTAGTCTTGTGTATCTGTTCTACAAAGTCTGTTACAGATTTGGAACTACTATTCTGGTTCAGAACTGTCTCCTAGTATGAATGTCTCTCATAGTTAAGAAAGAACAGAGACTGTCCTGTTACAGAGTGTTACTAGTTATTATACACAAATTCTGTCAGAGCTAACTATTCAGACTAGTCTGACTACTAATGATTGATGAACATCTAGAGATAGAGCTTGATCTCCTGATTGACTTGCTCAGTTTGACTATCAGTCTGTAGGTAATATGTAGTAGAAGGGTTCCCTTGAATTCTAAGAAGTGTATACAAGTCCTACATGAATTTTAACTTGAATTGTAGTCTATAATTGTGAATGAGCTTCTGAGGGAGTCTGTGTAACTAGAAGACATGATCCTAATAGATACATACTATACTTTCAGAAGTGAGTTCTATTCAGGTTAGAACTGTATAGACTTGCTTAGAGAATCAGTCAACAATTATACAGATAGTATTGTAACTCTAAGACTCAGGTAGCTCACTAATCAGGTCTACTAAGACTTCTTCCTAAGAGTGATCTAGGATCTGATACAAATGTAAGAGAGTCTAAACCCTTGTCTGGTGAGTCTTAGTCTGTTAGCACATATTACAACTAGTCATGTACTTTAGGATTTCCCTCTGTATTCCTGACTACTAGTAGTTCTAAGTAATAAGTTCCTACATTTTGTGTCAGCCCAAATGTTCTACAGTTAGATTGTTGTAATAAGCTCAGACAATGTCCTCTTACAGTTTCTGATCCTTTAGAATGTACAGTCAGCCTTCCTAGTAAACTCATCCATTCTCATCCTCCTCTTAATCCCTAGCTTACTTCTCTAACTACTTTACTACAACCTAGTCCTGTGTGTGTCTTAGAGCTTACTGTATACAGGTAACAAAGTTAACATCCTTGGATTCAAGTCAGATCTCTCAGATTGTCTTGGATGCAAAACAGGAATTGTCTAAGAGAACAAGATTTTTATTATCATTCTCCCCCCTTTCATAGCCTGCTTGTCTCAAGAGTAAATCAGCTTTCATTATTTGTGTTCTGAGTTTGTGAGTCAGTACAAAGTCATAGTTCTACAGTTCTAACATTTAGCAGGCCTAGTAGTAGTTGAGCTTCTGAGGTGCCTGGAAGTACTGAAGATTAAAGTGATCACTCTAAATCTCAAACTTCTGTATAGTACTAAGAAGATATTAACACTACTCCTCTAAGGAACAGACAATTGTAAGGAGTTTCTTGTTATAGATAGAGTAGTTCTGTTCTGTTACAGAGAGGGATTCTGATTAGAACACTATTGGACACTACTTTCTGTCAATGAACTAGGACAGTACTACTCTATTCACAAAGTTGGAAGAGTTGACTTTGACTCAGAATGTGTTTACAACTGTCAGAACTGTTAATACAGGCTTGCTAGTAATAGCCTACTTGAGGGACTCAAACACAGACTACTACTGATCACCCTATTACTAAGGAACATCTTTGCTAGTGAGATTGTGAAGGGGCCAGGTAATAGTACTAAAGTCTTAAATAAAGTGTTAGTAGTAGTTTACAAACCTAAGGAATGCTTGGACCTGTTTCAGGTTCTAAAGTTATAGCCAGTTCTAAACTACAGTTACCTTTGTTGAATCTATACAAACCTCTCCTCTACTAATCACAAAGCTTAGATAATCCACTAACTCCTATACAAAAGAACACTTTGTTTCTTAGAGGAATAGTTTATTATCTTAGAGTTACTATAGAACTGCTTAGATCAGTTGGTAATAATGCTTGACTGTCTGAGTAAAGATCAGAATGTTGTCTAGGTATACACTAACATGCTCCAAGTCAATCAGATCTGTAAGAATGTGATTCATGAATGACTAGAATGTTACAAACAAGTTGGTTAGTCTGAAGAACATTACAGTTGGTTCATACAATCTGTAATTAGTTTAGAATACAGTCTTCTACTTATTTCTGTCTCAGATCCAAATATTATTATATCCCTATCAAATGTCCAACTTAGTAAAAACTCTAGATGTATGTGTCTTATTAATGAGCTCCTGAATTAGGGGGAGTAGGTACTTGTTTTTGACAGTACCTTTATTAAGGTAACAATAATCCTAGACTAGGTAGAGCTTCTCATCTTTCTTTTTAATGAAGAAGAAAGGGGAGGCTATAAAGGACTTTAAGGGTTGGATCCAGCTGTTCTAAAGATTTTCCTAAAGGAACTCATTGAGCACCTCCTGCTTGTCTCTGTTAAGTAGGTAGACCTTACAATCCTTAGGTTGGAAACTCTTAGTCAATTCAATTGTATAGTCTCAGAGACAGTGTTTAGGAAGTTAGTCAAATTCCTCTTTACTAAAGACTTTAGGAAACTCTCAGACAAAATCTGGCAGGCTGAGTCTATGTGTGTTCTAGAGTAGAGTTGTTCTAAAAGGGTTTTGGACTGGTTCTGTCTTAAACATTCTTCAGATTGACTCTGTTCTGCCTTGACTAGAATATGTGTTCACATATCTATTCTAGTTAAAGAAGAACAACTAGTCACCTTCATTAGAACTGTTAGTAACATTAGAAGTGTTTGTATCTACTTAGGACAGTAGTATAAGATAGTTGTAAGACTCAGGACACTAATCAAACACAAGTGTCTACTCTAACTAGTTAATAGTAGGGTTGTGAGTCTTGAGCCATTTGAATCTAATAAAAATGTTTGTCTTTCTAAGGTTAGTAAGTCTGAACTCAATACTTTCCTTATAATCCTAAATGGTCATCCATAGTTAGACAAACTCAGTAATCTAACCATTCTAGTTCAGGGTTCTGTCTGTATTGTATACTAGGATTAGAAGTAGAACACATTAAGTAGGGAGGTAGTGTTCCTACACAAAGGCCTTATTAATGTACAAACTAGTACACTCACTATCTACTAGAGCTATTGTTTGGATCTGGGAGGATCCTAAGAAGGGAGCTAAGAGGACAGGGACTTAGAGTTAGTGTCTAGAGTATCCTCTAATAAATTGCTACTTGTTTTAAAGGGAATGTATAGCTTGTACAGTCTTGTCATTTAAGAGAGTAAGTATATGTGTCAACATTTCCTCATTAACCTCTCTCTTTCAACAAGGACAGACTCATGTCCTCAACTGTGAACTCAGTTGAGACTATCCCTACTTAATACTATAGACAAACTACTGAGTAGTAAACAGGGCTAGATAGTGTTCTGAATGTTCTAAGTTCTTAGAATGTAGAAGTAGTAGGTCAGATTGTATAGATTTAGACTTAGATGAAGTACAAAGAGAAGAACAAAGGAATCAGAAGGAATAAGAGAACTATCTACTTTTGTTTTTGACCTTTTTCTTTTTAATAAATAATTTTGTTAATTTACTTTTTCTACTTTTTCTACTTTTTCTACTTTTCTTACTTTATTTACTTCTAATCCTACAGTGTCTATTGAATCAAAAGTGGCTGTTAAAAAATCCGAGTTATAGCCCTTCAGTACTACATTCACTGTTAAGCCTCTACAAAATCCTAAGGTACATAGTTAGGGTCTGAGAGTTCTAAGGTAACTTCTGAATTTGTAGAAAAGGCTTCTTACTACAAATCCTGTTCATTACTCATTATTACTCTAATAACCTGACAGATATACTGTTGCTTCTGTAGACAGTCCTTAATTTAGTACTCTGACTTTCTGTAGGTAAAGTATACTCCTTACTTTTAGACTTCTCTAATGTCTATTAGAACAGATTGATTACAAATTACAGACAGATTGATCTGAGGGCTTGAAACTGTCAGAGCCAAATGTATGTACAAGCATTCTGTACAGACTTAATGTATCTAAGCTACAGCTTGGTTGAAGGAAATGGTGTATGTCTTCTACTCAGTGTAAGTAACCAGTTCTAACATTATTCTAAGAATCTTATCAACCAGTTCTAAGTGAAGAGCTTTTTCAAGCATTCTAATAAGGACATTATTAAACCTGAGTACAAATCCTGCCTTCTAGGCCAGGATATCAAACTCCTGGAAGAAGGCATTAGTAGAACATTTACTCTGTCACAGAGACACAAGCTTGTTCTACACATTGTACTTCTTATTCAGATTAATAAAGAAAGTACAGAGCTGCCTTATAAATTCTAAATATGACTTATTGTTCTGAAGTTGGATCAAGCTTCCAATCTAATAACCTTCAATCCAGTTCTGAGCCTAGGTGGCTGTGTTGCCTTCCTTCATAAAGGAGAGGACAAATAGGATGTAATTGAGATCTGAGGATAGATTAGTTAAAGTAGTAGTCATGTATAGTTCAACTTAGTGTTAGAAGTCCTTAAAGTGTTACCTATTAAAGTCTGAAGGGTAGGCTACATACACTTTCTTTCTGAAACAGGTTACAACTTCTGAAACAATCAGAACAGGTTCTAAGGGGGCTAGGGGTATATAGTTAGTAAAGGCCTTTTAGATAAAGGTTTACACATATTAAGCTAGGTCTGCTTGTAACTACTAATCCAGTAGGACAGTAAGGGTGACAGTCAGTGTAGGAGAGTCTATGTTTATACTACAAAGGAATTAACACTAAACTAAAAGGGGTAATAAATAGAAGAAGGGTGGCAAAAGTTTAAAAGGGTTTAGAAAGCTTAAAATTTAAAAATGTAAAAGGGTCAGGACAAAGAAAAGAGATTGACACAACAGTAAGTACTAATGCCTAAAACATAAGAGAGTTATAAGGTAGTAATGGGTAGTCTTGATCTGATGTTAGCAACAGTGTAGAGGGGACCTAAAGGCTTAGTAAGGGGACCCAGGCTACAACTATTCTACACAATAGAAGTACAGAACACAAGTACTAGAATGTAGTTGGAACTTGCAGAACAAGTAGAGAGTGAGAGTGAGACAAGAGTAGAGTATATAGAGTAAGCCTAAGAGTACAGGACTACCTAGAGTAGACAAGATCAAGACTACAGGACCAGTCTGATCTTGTACACCTATATATACTAAACTATACAAGAGTACTCAGAGAGTATAAGCTACTAAGAATGATAAGCTATAAAGAATAAAAGAAAGGAAGGTCAAAGATAAAGGTACAAAGAATGAAGGGATGGATAAAGGGTAAGAGACTATAGAATGAACAAAGAATGAAAGAGTGGTTAAAGGAACAGAATAATAAAGTAAGGAGGGGTAGTAGTAAGAGTCAGTACACATATAGTTTATAGACAGTACTCCTGAGGGACAGAAGTCCTGAGTTCTAGTACAGAAGGGTGTAGAACCCTTGGAACTGAAGGTACAAGAGTAGAGAACTGTAACAAAAGGTACAGAACTGGTAGAACTGAGGGCACAAGAGTAGTAAACTGTAACACATACATAGACTTAACATTTTACAATGTGTCTTGACTCTCACTCTTTGTCTCACTACTACCACCCTTGTCTGTGTACAATCACTCCTAAGGTACAATCCTCTCTCTGAACCAAGTAGGCACTCTCTTCCTCACCTATTCCATGCTTGACATTATACTCAATAAGTCTAATTTGTATAGTACATGTATTTACATTTCCCAGTACTGTCTATAACACTATTTCAAACAGAGGCAGTAGCCTAGAAAGTAAGGGCATTAAGAGGCTTAGTAGTAAGGAGAGTGTTTACAGTTGACCTTAACCTTGCAAGCACTCTGTATTACTCATCTTGAAATCAGCAAAGTCTGCCATCTCTACTTTGTACACACTACTACACTTTGTATGTATAGGGCTTGGTCCTATACTGTATTATACAGATACAGCATTTTTGTATATAGTACTGTACTGTATCTGTATAAAAAAATTGACTCAAAAATATGGCACATATTTTACAGGCTGTAACCAAATATTGTCTGTATAATACAGACTGTATATGCCTGTATACAATATACAACTACTAAATGAAAGAAACTCTTACTCTAAACATAATACTAAAGCTCTAATAAGTAGTATTCAATGTTCAGACACTTATACTAGCATTTACTAATATATTCAGCACTATTATTGTAAAAGTATGTGCAATCTGATATATATTCCAATATATAGGTACATCACATGACTTGACTTTATGACAAATATCACAGACTAAATTACATAACAAAATGTTAATAAGTCAAATTTTATACATTTCATGTAGATTAAGGCATAATATAGGTAGAATTCAATATTTCTATACTAAAGAGGTAATATCACAATGATGCAGCCCCTTACATTTCATGCTACACCTTGGTATACCGTAAATGTAGCAACTACGCTGTATCCGTATATGGCGTATACGTTCTGTATACGGCCGTACCGTATCCGTATAGGTTTTCGGGTTCAGAAATACAGCACCGTATTATACGAGCCGTATCCGTATACGGTACGGTACCGAGCCCTATGTATGCAGGTATCTGAACGGGCCACCATACAGCAAGCTATCAGCAGAGAGCGAGTCAAATTCTCTATAGTTGTCAGAATCAGTGGTTGACACCGATGAAGAAACGCTCGCGGTGCTTGCGGTAGAGCATGACGAAAGGTCACATGCGCGTGCGCCAGAACCTCGGACACGGCTCGACGATTTAGTGCGTTCACGTCTCTCTTTCTTAATCTCCTTCTCCTTGCTTACCGAAGGGAGCCACCACTACTGCCATTGTTGAGTCTTTCTTTCCCTTCTTGCTCCTATCAGATCGCGAGGGCTGATAGACATACCACAGGTACATCTCCTCGTGCTCCTTCTTCCTCTGCTTCGCAAGATCGTCCCAGTATTTACACCTCTTACCAGTATGCACTGTCATCAATGTGCAAATACAAACACGGCTTTGCCTGTAGCCCAAATCAGCACGTTCAACGCTCCGGATCTCAACCCTGGTGCACCACTCACACTCGCTGCACACGGTCGCAGTGCATCCATCTCCTCGATCCAGTTACTCACTAATGCTCGCACTCTTTGCCAAACGATCCCACAACCTGTCTCACAAGCACTACCTCAACCTGCACAACCTCACAACTGACAGGCACAGTGGTACATGCAGGGACCGAGTGACAACCAAGACGTAGTGACGAAGACTACATCAAATGACCCGAGAACACATTCATCCTCTTCTGTTGTAAGGGTTGTTTGTAAGGGACGGTGACAAGGCTAGTATTAATACAAGGAGTTATGCCTGTATACTATATATATATATATATTAGAATAATATATTATTGCATGTGTTTGTATAGATATACCTATAACAAGCTCTAAATATATGATATAGACACACCTAATAGTATGTATATGTAAATTTGCTAGAAATATCTAGTCAATACATTAGTTTAGTTCATCTAGTCAGATCTAGTCAATACTTAGTGTAGGTTATCTAATTGGCCCTCTTCTATATTCACAGTTTGTATTCTTTTAGAGCTAGTAAAGAGAGTGTGTAGATTTACTAATTTACCCTATTCTAGCTCTGACAATATCTTATTCCCACATCTATTTACCCCCATTTCAGATTCCTCTAACACACAGTGACTTTCTAGGATTACAAGGTTAAAATATATTTATTAATTTGTGACAGTATAATATTTGCTTATAGTACTTATAAGTTATTATAAGTGTTTAAATAACTTGTTTTTTTATTTTACATACAATTTTGTATTAAATAATAAATAAAATATAGGTAATTTAGTAATATATTACTACATATTATATATTACTATATATACTATCTAACTATATAGTATTTTATATAAATATAAGTTATAATTCTATATTATACAATAATGTTACTATATAGCTATGTGGTTATACAGTCCTAAACAAATATAAACAGACATACACAACAATTAAACTATATATTACTATTTAACTATATATAATTATATGTAAATTTAAATAACAATTTAGTAATATATTACTATATATTATATATTATTATATATACTATTTAACTATATAGTATTTTATATAAATATAGGTTGCAATTCTATGTTATACAACAATGTTACTATACAGCTATACAGTTATACAGTCCTAAACAAGTATAAACAACTATACACAACAATTAAACTATATATTACTATTTAACTATGTACAATTTAACAATATACAACTATACAGTATTATATATTACTTTACTACTATATATTACAAGTCTGTTTTACTATAATTACTCTCATTGTTTGTTCAAAGTAGTGTATAATAAGAATCATTATATTGTTGTTTCTCATTCATTATAGTTTTGCACTGTGAATAATTTATAAAATTGCTAGTAATCATCTTACTAGATTGATTAATTCATATACCAGTTGTAAGATATACTCA